TGTGGCCAAGTTTAGTTAAATTTGGCCCAGTGGTTTCAGAGAAGAAGATTTTTGTAAAAGTTAACGGACGACAGACGACGGACGCCAAGTGATGAGAAAAGCTCACTTGGCCCTTTGGGCCAGGTGAGCTAAAAACTAGAGGCTCTCAAGAGCCTGTGTCGCTCACCTGTATTTACTGATGCTTTGGAAATCATGTAAAATAAGGTAAAAATCATAATTAATAGTATTAGATATTAGATATTATAATGATATCTAAGATAATAACATAAAACTTCAAAATTTCTGTAAAATTACTAACTCAGGGGCAGCAACCCAACAACGAGTTGTTAGATTTGTCTGAAAATTTCAGGGCAGATAAATCTAAATCTGATGAACAGATTTGCTCTAAATGCTTTAGTTTCAGAGATATAAACCAAAAACTGCATTTTACCCATATGTTCTATTTTTAACCATGTCGGCCATGATGGTTGGAAGACGGGGTCATCGGACAAATTTTTTAAACTAGATACCCTAATAATGATTATGGCCAGGTATGGTTAAATTTGTCTCAGTAATTTCAGAGAAGAAGATTTTTGTAAAAGATTACAAAAATTTACGAAAAATTGTTAAAAATTGACTATAAAGGGCAATAACTCCTAAAGGGGTCGACTGACAATTTTGGTCTTGACGACTAATTTGTAGATCTTTCTTTGCTGAACATTATTGCTGTTTACAGTTTATCTCTATCTATAATAATATTCAAGATAATAACCAAAAACTGCAAAATTTCCTTAAAATTACCAATGCATGGGCAGCAATCCAACAACGGATTGTCAGATTTGTCTGAAAATTTCAGGGCAGATAGATCTTGACCTGATAATCAGTTTTACCCATGTCATATTTACTCTAAATACTTGGTTTCAGAGATATAAGCTAAAATCTACATTTTACCCCTATGTTCTATTTTTAGCCATGGTGGCCATCTTGGTTGGTTGGCGGGGTCTTATGACACATTTTTCAAACTAGATACACTAATGATGATTTTGGCCAAGTTTGGTTAAATTTGGCCCAGTGGTTTCAGAGGAGAAGATTTTTGTAAAAGCTAACGACGATGGATGACGACGACGATGCCAAGTGATGAGAAAAACTCACCTGGCCCGAAGGTGAGCTAAAAACATTTGAAAAACAATAAGGTCTTTCCTAACGGAGTGGAAAGACCTTAAATAGTGTATAACATGACAATGCCAGTATGTTAACCTATTGCATGTATTGGGAACTTACATCCCACTATCGTAGATGATACATATTAATTCATATAGGCTCAAATGTGTCAGTAAAAATAGTATAAACATTATCAGTGACACAATCTCTGGTGTACTCAGGTAAATATAGGTACCTTCAGGTTACCTTCCATTCATTATCATTTAATGTATAAACATGATCATGAATGAATTTGTAGGTAAACTTTAGAAAGGTCATCTGTCTGCATAAAATACTATAATATGTACACACTGATTATATGCTTACTGAAGAAACTATTGAATATTGATAGAAAAGCCAGGTAAATAACCAGATTACATGCCTATCGAAAAACTATTGAACATTGAAAAAAGCTAGGTTTATCAAACAAAGCTTTCCCAGGACTGCATGATTTTTGGCTTTCCCAAGCCTGCATGATTGTTTCGGAATATTTTCTGCAAAATTCTAGTATAAAGAGCCATTTAAAATAACTACATAGAAATATATTGAATCCTCTTACAGGATAGGTCATAAAGGGGGATTCTTGTTTCAGCATCACTGCATGTTAGTGAATGCAGTATTTTGCTTTTATTTTTTTGACTAAACAGAGCAAATCTTAAGGGTGACAAAATTCCTGTTAAAGATAAAAGATTGCAAAAATAGTTTCTCATAAAACTCTTTACATATATATTTCAATACTAACAGAAAAAACAAAATTTCAGTGTTTTATTTATTAAACAGTTCTTGGATGTAAATCTAAAGATGGCACAACCGTCTGAATATTGCTTACACGGCAGACCTTACACAATATAATAAAGTTCACTATGAAATACATGTATCAAATCATTCCTTTTTACATGTATAAGAGCAGCTGAGAAATATGTGATGAAAACTCCTCGCTCGATTCAGGTATCATTAAATTTCAAAGTATTTCCAGGAAGTGACTGACTGGCAAATCTAAAAATAGCTTACACAGTACAACCCATCAAAAAAGGAGAACAGCTTTCCAAAGTCCAATGTCCCCTGCATTGCCAATACTGTATTTGATCAATTTAAAGAGATATATTGAAGACAATTGCGACTATCCAATCTGTTTGGCCTTTCAATGAGAAAAATCCAAGGCCCTGGAATGATAAAAAGCGGGAATTTTGCATCTTGAATTAGGTGATTTATCAAGGCAACAATATAACCATGATTGTTCTGGCTATAGTATGATAGTTTAACTGGCAATTCATCAACGAATATAATTTTTTCCCCTAATATACCTGCACATTTTTCAGGTGTCTATTATAAAACAAGGCTGACAGCTTGGGTGACTTATTCAATTAATTCTCAGTAACCATATATCCTTCCTTATAAAGTGGCAAAAAGAAATTTAATACTTATCTTTGTCTATGCAGTTTTTATGTAAGAATATGATATGTGCAATAAATCATCTGTTTATCCTTACTAGTACACAAGATGCATTCCATATATTTTGTTTTCTGCTAACTTCACTATCAGTGCCAAGTACATAGTATACCATCAATGTATGTCAGCCTCATTTATAAACAGTGTGTTAATTTATTTAAAACCCACTAGTTTTGTTTTAACATGTTTAAAAAGATAACATTTATATTCCCTTCAAACTCAAACATAGTTTATTTATGCCAAGAAAATGTATAAAATGATATTGGGTCCATAGGAAAAAAGTTACAAGGCCTTAAAGATAGCCTGACCATTTTTTTCAGTTACTAATTTATGTTATAGATCAAGCTCAAAATGATAAATATTTTAAAAGTACACATGCCTTAAGCTTTTTCTAAGACATTGATTTCCTACTGACATAATTTTGGTCAATTTAGATTGATTGATTGTTGCTTACTTAAATCCAGTGGCAAATATTTCAGGACTATATTCAGGATGAGGTCAGATCAGAAAACAAGAGTGCACATGCTATGTCTTGCCTGATTTACTGATTTAATAATGTTCTATGCTGAATGTCTCAGGGTCTTAACTTATGTATCACATAAAGTCTTAACATTATCAATGATGTCAAGGTCTTGTCAGATGGACAGTCACCTTCCAATCATTTTTACAGTGAATACTGTATGTATGTAACTGACCATTTAAAGTATCTGAAAAACTGACCTGTTACTTGCAAAAATGTTAACCCATGAAATGAAAGGTTAAAGTCAAACCATAACCAAACTGACATGTACACTTACAATCATTTAATAAATTGTATATAAGTTGATTTAAATTATAATCTGAAAAAACTCATGTAATCACAAAACTTATAAAATGCAGAACAAATAACCATGAAAATGAGTTAATTTTTTAATGAACCATGTCTTACAGACATATACACCCCACAAAATCCTACAACACAAACAAGATGTTGTGTGAGCTATTACTAAAAAAATATACCCTAATTCAAATTGTTGACAAAATGTGAAACAAATTTCATATATATTTACAGGATATTTTAAAGATATCATTTTTCACCAAATAGGAAGTTATGATGATCAAAGGAATTGTCACACAGTATAAACATAACTAGGTGGAGCAGCATAACCCACTCCTGTCAAATGTGTATATATGGGAGGAATGTCCTGGTTGGTTACACCATTCCCCAAATGAATAAGTAATTGGCCCTGCTGGACTTGTTCATATCATGACAATTTTCTCTCCCTTCATGCTGGATTCTGACAATTCTTAATTTCATGTGATGTATTGTTTTAATTATCAGGACTATTTCAAATAAAAGATATCCACAGTTTTACTTCAATCATTTAATTTCAAAATCATATTAGATGAAGGCAGATCAACAAGTCTCATTGATGCTTTTGGAACAATTGTTTATAATCATGTAACTGAATTTTCTTGTGTCAACATGGAAGTACACAGAATGTAGCTGGGATCTTAATTATTGATATTAATTGTCTTCTTTGTGTTTCATATTATTGAAATTGCCCTTTGTGGGCTCTATAATTCAGAATAAAGATATTTGATTGATTTTGTTATGCAATAATTCCAAGAGCCTGGTGTGAAAGATAGGTACTCATCTTCAACATAATGATGTCTCCTAACTCCAATGAACAATGCTCAAAAGTCAGCTTCATCAAATACAAAAGCTACCTGTTATGGTTTATTTCACAACCTTATAACCTCACAAAATGACAATGTATAACATTTCTACACAATGTCAAAACAAAACTTTCATTAACAGCTATTGTCATTGAGACTATAACAATGTTCTTTTAACAAAAAACAGCAGGTGCTGGCAAAATATCAAACCTAATGGCTCTTCAATGATTAAACAATCAATCAACAATCTTGATTTATTACATAATAAAAGTTCATAAAACAAATTTAATTCATTAATCCAGGTATAAATATAACAAGCATTGATCCTTACTATTGTGGACTGTCACCAGATGTTACCTTCAATCACTGAGCAAATTCTAAGAACTTGATAAAATGTAGATAACAATCTAATAAATGATTTATCTAACTAATATATTCAGGGTGGGCTTTATATTTCATTTTTCTCAATTTTTTACATTGCTTTTGAACTGTTGCTACTGATAATAAGCATTGCAGGTCTTATATTACCATTTAATAAAGCTGGTCTACTATCAGTCTTACCAAGGCTTTCTCCTTGGACCTAGTCCGAGAGCCACACAGGAGATGCATGTATGAACAAACAGGTCAATTATAGAAACCTATATTAGTTTATTTTCTCAGAACTTCAGATAAAATTATGATTTAATATAGTATTAAAAGTAGGACCTAAGGCTCTTATTTATGAAGTTATGATACAAGTCTTTTTCAATAATAATGGTTTCCTGAACTTAAATGGAATTCACCATAGATTTTTTCAGTCATAAAAAGTCAAAATTGAGTTGTCCAGACAGGATCTGGCTCTCTAAACCTTTGCAGAAACACAATAAAATTGTGTGTCAGTGAATCATTATTAAATAACTGACAATTCCTATACACAATATATGATTGGTTTGTCAATGTCAGACCTTGACAGTTATGGTATACACAATATATGATTGGTTTGTCAATGTCAGACCTTGACAGTTATGGTATACACAATATATGATTGGTTTGTCAATGTCAGACCTTGACAGTTATGGTATACACAATATATGATTGGTTTGTCAATGTCAGACCTTGACAGTTATGGTATACACAATATATGATTGGTTTGTCAATGTCAGACCTTGACAGTTATGGTATACACAATATATGATTGGTTTGTCAATGTCAGACCTTGACAGTTATGGTATACACAATATATGATTGGTTTGTCAATGTCAGACCTTGACAGTTATGGTATACACAATATATGATTGGTTTGTCAATGTCAGACCTTGACAGTTATGGTATACACAATATATGATTGGTTTGTCAATGTCAGACCTTGACAGTTATGGTATACACAATATATGATTGGTTTGTCAATGTCAGACCTTGACAGTTATGGTATACACAATATATGATTGGTTTGTCAATGTCAGACCTTGACAGTTATGGTATACACAATATACGATTGGTTTGTCAATGTCAGACCTTGACAGTTATGGTATACACAATATATGATTGGTTTGTCAATGTCAGACCTTGACAGTTATGGTATACACAATATACGATTGGTTTGTCAATGTCAGACCTTGACAGTTATGGTATACACAATATACGATTGGTTTGTCAATGTCAGACCTTGACAGTTATGGTATACACAATATATGATTGGTTTGTCAATGTCAGACCTTGACAGTTATGGTATACACAATATATGATTGGTTTGTCAATGTCAGACCTTGACAGTTATGGTATACACAATATATGATTGGTTTGTCAATGTCAGACCTTGACAGTTATGGTATACACAATATATGATTGGTTTGTCAATGTCAGACCTTGACAGTTATGGTATACACAATATATGATTGGTTTGTCAATGTCAGACCTTGACAGTTATGGTATACACAATATATGATTGGTTTGTCAATGTCAGACCTTGACAGTTATGGTATACACAATATATGATTGGTTTGTCAATGTCAGACCTTGACAGTTATGGTATACACAATATATGATTGGTTTGTCAATGTCAGACCTTGACAGTTATGGTATACACAATATATGATTGGTTTGTCAATGTCAGACCTTGACAGTTATGGTATACACAATATATGATTGGTTTGTCAATGTCAGACCTTGACAGTTATGGTATACACAATATACGATTGGTTTGTCAATGTCAGACCTTGACAGTTATGGTATACACAATATACGATTGGTTTGTCAATGTCAGACCTTGACAGTTATGGTATACACAATATATGATTGGTTTGTCAATGTCAGACCTTGACAGTTATGGTATACACAATATATGATTGGTTTGTCAATGTCAGACCTTGACAGTTATGGTATACACAATATATGATTGGTTTGTCAATGTCAGACCTTGACAGTTATGGTATACACAATATATGATTGGTTTGTCAATGTCAGACCTTGACAGTTATGGTATACACAATATATGATTGGTTTGTCAATGTCAGACCTTGACAGTTATGGTATACATCTGCAAAAAGTTACAAAAAACATTCTTCATTAAATATTTATGATAAATCACTATAAAACTAGTATGAAGTTGTGACAATAACAACACAATAAAATAGATTCAATCTTCATTATGATATCAGCTGTTTATTAATTGATTAAAATGTCTTCATTGACTTCAAAAGTCTATAATGACACTAACAAACTATTCTAATATATTTAAAAAGGCTTTTGATAGGGTCATACACTGTGGTATTAGATACAAATTATTGGAAAATAACATATCTGGAAAATTTTATACTATTTTAAAAGACATGTACAGAAAAAATGAAATGTCGGTGAAAGTGGGTAATGTACTAACGCCATCTTTCAGCTCGCTAGTTGGGGTTAGGCAAGGGGATGTTCTAAGCCCAAATTTATTTAAGCTTTTCATTAACGATCTGCCTCCAAGATTTGAGTCGAGTCCAGATGCTGTTTATATCAATGGGCGTAGAATTGATTGTCTTATGTACGCCGATGACATTATTATATTATCAAACACTAAACAGGGTCTGCAAACCCGACTTGATAACCTGCAAACTTATTGTATTGATTGGTGTCTAGATGTTAACTTGTCCAAAACAAAAGTTTTAATTTTTAACAAGCCTGGAAAATTTTTGAAGGAATCACTTTGTTTAGATAATGAGGCTATAGAATGTGTTAACAGATATAAATATTTAGGGATAGTCTTTACTTCCAGTGGTCTTTTTCAGCAGGGGAAAGAAGAGCTATTCAAAAAGTCCTTAAAGGCAAAATTTAAACTACAAAAATCCATGTCAGCTTGTAATCCAAGTATTGATACTGCAATCCATTTATATGATCACACAATAAAACCAATTTTATTATATTGTAGTGAAATCTGGGGTACCTTTAAGATTAACTCTGCTGCTTGCAAGAAAAAAAGTGATTATCTATTTGAATTAATTTACATAAATGATTATTTGGAAAAATCACATTTCAGGTATCTAAAATATATTCTTGGTGTAAATAAAAAAGCCTCAAATTTGGCAGTGTTATCAGAGGTTGCAAGATTTCCTCTTTATTTTTCTGTCATTATATCTATGGTAAAATATGTACACAGGCTTAACAAATTGGACGATGGGTTACTTTATGATGCTTATGTTTGTAATAAAATTTTAGATGCAGGAAACATTAATTGTTGGTATTCATCTATGAGATATGTCCTTCAATCACTTGATATACAAAATTTGAATACAAAGCTCAATAGATTAATTAAATTTGTAAAATGTAAACTTTGTAACAGTTTTAAAACATTTTGGGGGGTCAAAAGATCTGATACCTTATCACAAGGTAATAGTAAATTAGAAAATTATTTCAACCTCAAGACTGACTTCGTAAAGGAGGCTTATTTATCAATTAAAGATTTTAATATAAGAAGAGCTATATGTAAATTGAGAATAAGTGCACATGATCTTAAAATTGAGAAAGATAGGTATAGTAAAAAATACATAGAGAGAAGTCAGCGTCTATGTCATCACTGCCTATCACATGGATCAAATTCTATTGAAGATGAGACCCATTTCACAGTAAGTTGTCCTTTATATAACGAACAGAGAAAATTATTATGGGATAAAGTAAACAGTTTTTGTAATAATTTTAAAGAATTACCCAAGGATAAAAAATATTTCTGGCTGTTCACAAATGAGCATTTACCAACTCTTATGTGCCTAGGCAATTATATAATTAAGTGTTTAGAAATAAGATCCAGGTGGATACAAAATATATAAAATTATTATGCAATTATTGTTAATGTTATGTAAGACACATGATGTGTTAGGCTCTGATCCTGTCCAATATATGATAGTATTATATTAGGATATAGTTTTTCTTTTTTCCAATCATATTGTGCTTAATATTGTTGTAAATGATGCCCTTTATGGGTTCTTGATTAGATTAATAAAATTCTTATCTTATCTTATATTTTCAATTACCTCCATTGTAAAAATAATTTGATATACATTGCACATCATGTAGGCAGCAACATTAAGCTTTGCTTAGGCACCAAAGTAACAACACTTTGTTTACAGTAATGTGCCTTCAGTACCATACAAGAATCCTCTCAATATTTTCTGGCAAAAATCAGAACCATACAACAATACTTCAACATACTTTTATATTAAGATACATGTTAGTGCTTTTTTTTATATTTTGCAATTATATTATACATGTATATTAATGCCCCCCACCCCAAAATCCCCTTTAAATCTTTTTTTTGTAGGAATGTTATCATTAAAATGTTTTTTTAGGGAGAGCTTGCTTGCTTAATGCTTCATCTTCATTTAATCAAGCATTAAGTAAAAGTCAAGTGCTCCTTCAAGTCCTAGGAAAGTACTTGCACTGCTACTTAAAGGATTAAATTGTTTAGAAAAGTTCAGTCAATTTAACTTTAACCTCAATGGATAGCAATTAAAACAGATACATACGGTATATGTATTTGATATAAAAAATACATTCACATATTTCTTACATCTATATCTGACAAGACTAACAAATGCTATTTCTGTGATTTAATGACAAACCAGTATGTCCATATTGTATGCAGGTGTGAGATAATCTGTCCTTGAAACATACTATACAACAGCCTTGTAACAGATGACAGACTATAAATCTCTTGTTCATCATCAGCTCAAGAATATTCATTTATGGTTACAGTAGCTATATACATGATATATATCTTACATTTATGCATGTAATTCACATAAATCCAAGCCATTATGCATGTACATGTACCAGTCACAGAAAAGGTCCAACAGAATTTTTTTTTTAAATGTTTTAAAAGACTGGCAAAAAGGGCTAACAGAAAAAACTAAAGGCTCTTAAAAGAACATCTGTCGCTCTTCTGGATGGATATGCATTTCCAATAATGCCCACTCTCTAACATTGTAAACTAGAATATAATTCATGACTTAAATATCTTTTTTTTTTGTCTTGCTGATTATTTTTATCATGTTAACTGTTAACAGTTTCTCTCCATCAACTATTAAAGTTTTGCCCAAAATACAATAAATGGGTAAAAACTCCTATATTACTTGTAGATCTAGTCTTTGCCGATAACTTTTACTGTTTTCAGATTTACTTTATCCACCAATGTTTTCCCCAATATCGTAAAAATTGGTTTAAAAAAATCCTCATTAAAGAGCAATAACTCCAATAATTAGTCAACTGATCATTTCGGCCATGTTGACTTTTTTGTAGATCTTTAATTCCAGCTGAACATTTTTTTTTATTATGTCATTTTTACTGATTATTTAGGCCATATTGACTTAAATGTAGATCTTGTCTAGCTGATAATTTTTTATTGATCTAATACAATTTATATTTTCAAGATAATAGACAAAACTTATATTCTACCCTTATGTTGTTTTTTTTTGCCATGTCAGCCATTATGGATTGGTTGGCAGGGTAGAGCTGACATCGTACATATTTTCAAACAAGATACACCAAAGATGTGTTTTTTTTGGAGAAGATTTTAGTAAAAGTAAACGGACAAAGGACTATGGACGGCAAGTGATGATTATCAATAGCAGCTAAAAAATATGAAAGAAGAGAAAAGAATGGCAAAAAAGTTGCACAGAAGAATAACATCAACATCATGACATATCAAATTAGTTTTTAATATGTTCTATTGATGTCCAAAAAGAGACAAATGAGAGCTGCACTAGCCTAAAGATCACATGTACTTTTGCTTTCAATGACTTATTCCCATCACTCTGAATTGTTTGATCAGTTCCAAATAGAATAGAAAACATTTTCTGTTGAAGAAAATCAGGTTTTTCTAGATCTTTTCAATTTCAGATGAAAAGAAGGTTGTAGTTCATTTTAATATTATCTTCAATCCTTGCTTCTACAAAACACCATAAACCTAAATCATTTCATAATTTTCAAGTGTGAATGCCACTTGATCCACCAAAGTTCATTATAGCCAATTTATCCATTGATATTGTACAGATACACATCATTTAGCTTTGGCCTCCTATGTAGACACATTATTTAGCTTTAGCTTTGGGTTCCTATTTAGACACAATATTTAGCTTTGGTCTCCTATCTACATTAGTATTTGATCTACTAAATCAATAGTAATATGTAATATTAATTCACTGTGAGTTTTTTACATTAGTGTTTTATCACCACTGGAATTAATAGGACCCAGCAGGACCGTAAAAAGTTGTAATGATTTTAACAGGCAACTCTGACAACATATACTGATAATACTTATTTCCTCTGCTATGTAAAATATTATTTATTTATGATATCTAATAATTTTCTCTAAATGTCATTTTATTTCTCTGGGTAGTTTATATAATTATCATAATTCATTTATATATGTACACATGTTCCATTTCGCTTAAAATATAATTAAACATACATTTTTGTAAGCTAGTTTAAATTACTGATAAAACATTTCACAGTCTATGAATTTTGCCCGAATTTCAAACATTTTTCTGAAATTTCTACTGATGACAATAATGATTCAAAGAGTCAAATGGCATAATTCTAATACTCAGGTAGACTTGCTACATGTCCCTTCCTTTTTTTTTTTTCTTCAATTTTGCTCCTTTAACAATTTTACTGCTACATGTTTAACTAAGAGATTTCTACTGACATCTGATTGCCCTTGTCAGTATAATGGTAATCTCTTAGTTATAGCAGTAAAATTGTTAAAGGGGCAAAATTGGAAAAAAAAAAAAAATAAGGAAGGGAAATGTAGCAAGTCTCTTACTCAGGTTATGGTTTGTTATTTGACTGCTAGATTGACTTGTTAAATGTCCATAGTTATATAGTTTATTATTGGGTTGTTTGTACTTGTGTCTATTAATAATTGAAGAGTTAAGTCCCTTTTCTGTTCTGATTTTTGTCGAGCCTGCGATCCTAAATTCCGTCGGCATCGGTGCCGTCCACAAATATTCACTCTGTAGTTAAAGTTTTTGAAATTTTAATAACTTTCTTAAACTATCCTGCATTTCAACCAAACTTGGACAGAAGCTTGTTTATGATCATAAGATAGTATCCAGAAGTAAATTTTGTAAAAAAAAAAATCCTGTTTATCCGTATTTTACTCATAAATGGACTTAATTTTTCTGTCAGTTTACATTACAGTCACTCTGTGGTTAAAGTTTTTCAAATTTTAATAACTTTCTTAACCTATCCTAGATT